GCAAGACCACACCAACTTGATACCGATAAAATGGGTTGCGACCAAACCTAAGGTCACACCTAAGGCCTATCTACGAGCAAATTTCATACTGCTTGATGCTGTTTCATGGGTTTCATTTTTTATGTATCGAAGGCTTTGCATGCATGTTATATAATTGACATACGTAAACATGAAATTGTCTGAAATCGCCAGGACATCTTTACTTTCATCTACATTCCATGGCTCTTTGGGAGGCAAGCGACCGACTGGTCAAGGCAACTGAGGAATAAATGCCACATATCCACACCTGCAGAAGGGACTCATGAAATTAAATTTTGATGCACTGAGTCGATAAAATTCTTATCTCTACAATGACTCAATGTTAAGGCCACTTCAGCTGAGGAATCACACGCTGATAGTTGCCAGCAAATAGGAAGTCCACTTTATTCCTGTCCCCCTTTTCCAGACAAACGCCTCCTTCGTTTGGGCACCACCCTGCATTTACGAGTGGAAGGAGGTACTTCCTCACGTCCTTGAGAGACCCCAAAGCAAGTAATTTTTTCCCTCAGCTTCAAGTGCTTGATCAAAGTGGTCAAAACCTGTGCGTGAATAGTCATAAAGGTGGAAATCGGCCGGGAAGACGACAGTTCTGCAAATTGCGATGCTTCCCAGACAAGGTCTCGTGTTGCCAGATTTTCGTCGGCCCCCTTCCAACACGAATTAATATGCTTTTTCTACAGACCACATAGTCGGTATAAAATGCTTCTTAGCCATTTTCCAGAGTTATCTTCAGCCTTACCTTGACGGAGGTCGCAGAACATGGCTTGTTGCCTGCCCAATTGGGCAAACCAACCTTCTTTGCGCGCAAACCTGCCCTAGTTACTATTTCTGCAACCCCCCTTCAACCCCACCTCCAGCTCCAGCCACACTCGCAGCCAAAAACAAGTGGTTGGGTCGGTCTGGGCGACTGTTCATATCACCACGCCTTGGAACAGCAAATAATGTTCAAGTGCCAGTTCACCCAAGCGACAACACAACGGGCTGGACATCAAAAGTTTGCTGTGAATTTTTAACCTTCAGATCCTTCAACTGGAGGGTCTCGGGCCTCTTTGAAGCTGGAAAATGGAGGGCTTCATAAGAGACGGACTGCCCGGATAGCATGGCCTCCCGAATCTGCAACAGTGACAGTGATTTTGGAGCCTGATCAACAGGTTCAGTCTATTCAACGCCTTTACCATGGCAACTATAAACTTCGGCCCACGACAAGTATACCCTATCATCTTTATTACATACAAAACGTAGTTGGGTTTTGATGAATGGCTTGAGACAACATTGTTGTGGTGTCTTATATCGCGAATGAAGTTGGTTGGTCTCACCAGAAGTTGGTTGTCTCCAAAAAGACTAACAGATCCCGACTGGGCTGAACTAGGCTTCACTCTCTCTTACCAGCTTTCCGCGCAGGATTAAATACCGGATTTTAAGTGTCGTGTATTTGCCATTTTAATCGACTATGCTACTTGTTTTTGATATAAGTAGTCGTGGAAACTATCCGTGACAGTCAAGACTAGCCGGGTGTCCGTGAGCTCTTATCTAAAATGGAAGTTTCGTTTAAGTACACAAGCATTTTCCATTGCAGTCGAAACTGTTACCTATTTTCGATATAAACAATATTAAAGAGTGTAGGCAATTTTTGAATCTGAACATTCTCAAATCCAGCTTCCTCATTCTGTCCTGCTTGCTTTCCAGTTTATGTATTTCACTAGCTTGCTGGATCTAGTTTTGGTGGGACTCTACGAAGACCTGTTAAAAATATTGACTCGTTGGCTCGTCAGATTGAAGTGGATTAACGAATCTAGTCGGCTCCGATGATGACTTGCGGAAATTTGGCTAGTTTTCACTGTACTCGGATGACTTTCACTCGAAATGAACTTGATCCTGACAGTTGTCAACCAGTAGAGTGCCGAACAACTTCAACGCAATTCCAATCGGCATGGACATGGAGTTGGTCAGGGCTGTTTTGTCGGAGAATCCGTAGCATTGGCATCTCGTCGTGAGGACGAATGTGGTCAGTCAAGTCAGTCCATCTTGCGGACCCGGTCCGCTTGCGTCTGCCAAGCAAAGTTTTGTAAACTTTCTTCCACGACCCCTCCATCTCCTTGCCTGCATGTGCAGCAAATAGCCGGTATGTCATGCGGATAATGACAACTGCAGCCAAAGATCTCCCAGCCAGTGATGCGCTCGGTTTTGAGGGGACACGTTCCAGGCTCGAGCACTCAAATACGCAGCAATAATGGAGCCCCGAATCGGCTTAGTAGCTGTGGCGACATCTCTAATACCTTTTCATAAGGCGTTAGTTAGTTAGTGTGCTTGTTTGGCTTTGTTTGTGCGTGTCCGACCATGTCGGCAGGTGGGTGAATGTGTAGGTGCATATGTCTATGTTTATGTGCGTGTGCGTGTGCTTTTTGCCGTTGGTGTTCCAAGTATGTGTCTGGTTTGCAGAGGCCGTTTAGCCTGAAAAGGATGGAATGACAACATTTGCTTTTTGCTGTCAGGCCTCCCATCAATTGACCGACCCATGTCTTGCGATTGTAACCAAATGGACAGTGTTATGGCGTCGTCTGCCGGCAAATGGATGCCTTCATTGGCCGGCTCCAAAACGCCATGCTCCATTTTTAAGGCTTTAGGTGGCCAAGTGCCTTGTTTCACTTCAACCCGTACACTGCCCATTCGTCTGTTTACCAACACCCGTGTTGTTCTGGAAATGGCATTTAGTGTATCGCGTCACCACCATTTTTCAACCACAAATGCACTAATCTTCTCTTCCACTCTCACCGGCTCGTTTTCCCATCGTGGATAGGCCTGAAGAAGGGGAGTTAACCGAGACAAACAGTCAGGAGCCGGGAGCTACTTCTGCCAATAATGAAATTCGCCGATGTCATTATTGCTGGAGTCGGACGGACAAACGACGACGGAAGAGGCAGTGGATTATCGTCTGAATAAAATTGTGTGGAGGCTTGTTTACATCTCTGTGTGGGCATGTGTGTGCATGTGTGGGCATATAGAGAAATAAGCTTGTCCATACATGTTTATGCTTCCACTGAATCTTTAGAGCAGCTAGTTACAAGCTTGATGGCTTCAGGCCGCACCCACAGGCATTAGCACTCGACGGGTAAACGCATCTCCCAGAGTTTTGCTCTCTGTAGCCTCGGCAGTGGTAAACAAAAAACCATTTTCATCGCCTTCGAACTCAGCTTGGACCGCTTTATTTACAAGCTTCTGCCTACATTTCTGGCAACAGACATGCACCGATTTGTCTGCTTTACCAGTATCCGTTGCCGGGTCATAAAGTCTGCTTGCTTACTCTCTGAACGGCATGAAATAAGCCAGATGACAAAGATTCTGTCTCGCTTAGTCTCCGTTATCGTAGATCAAGGTCAGATGACGAGTGAGGCATTCACGAGACATCGGAATGAAGAGTCTCTTTCTGTCAAAAGCATGGATGTATTTGTCCGTTTACGTGTGAGTGCTTGTCTTCTTCAGTGTGTGTGTGTGTGTGAGAGAGAGAGAGAGA